TTAAAAGTTGAAGCTGGATGTTTGAAATGTTATTGCTTGATTAATTATGCCCTGTACAGTATTTATGCCTTTAAGGTGCACTTTATAAAGAGTTTTGAACAGATAAAAAATTCTTTTTAAAAAAACTTTTTTTCTGACCTCCGGAACGGATTAATTGGTTGATTAATTAATTAATGCATTCTCATGGGAAACCGCATTTTGGTTTATGAACTTCTTGCAATGCGAACCAGAGAATGCATTAAATTCGTAAACCGAGGTACCACTGTCCATTTCTTTTGAAGTGTAACTTCATTATACCCTCATTACAAATGAAGAAGTTATAAGCTACAATTAAATATATGACTATATATGCAGTATATGTATGATATCACTTATAACATCTATCTATCTATCTATCTATCTATCTATCTATCTATCTATCTATCTATCTATCTATCTATCTATCTATCTATCTATCTATCTATCTATCTATCTATCTATCTATCTATCTAATAAGTCATATAGATATAGATATATATATGACTTTTAACATATGATGATCTAATTAGAGTCTAATTAGATCATCATAAGTTCAGATCAACCAAACCAGTGGCAGTCCACCAGCTATGGACAGTAGTCCGCCAGAGTCTCTATAATCTTTTTATTGTCAATGGCATTACAAAACTGCAAAAACAAAAGGGCTGCCAACGAAAGGGCTACTGGAATCATTCAGTTTTATCACACTGTGCTTGACAGTTGGTATGTGGGGTTTGTGGTGATAAGCTGTGTTTGGTTTTCAACAAATGTGGCACTGTACATTATAGCCAAATAACTCCACTTTGGTCTCATCTGAACAAAGGACATTTTCCCAGAAATCTTGTGGTTTCTCCAGATGCAACTGGGCAAACCTAAACTGTACTGCCATGTTCTTTTTAGAGAGAAGAGGCTTTCAGCTGGCAACTCTTCCAAACAAACTATACTTGTTTAGTCTTATTTGTAATTGTACTTTCATGAACTTTAATGTTTAACATGCTAACTGAGGCCTGCAGAGTTTGAGATCTAACTCTTAGCTTTTTGCAATTTCTCTGAGTATTGCATGGTCTGACCTTGTGGTCAATTCACTTGGATGTCCACTCCTGGGAAGATTGGCAACTGTCCTGAATGTTTTCCACTTGTGAATCATCTTCCTCAATGTACAATGATGGATTTTAAATTGTTTAGAAATGGCCTTATAACCCTTCCTGGATTGATGGGAGGCAAAAATTACTTCTCTACGATCACTGCTGATCTGTCTTTTTAAGAAAAATTGAATTCTATACAGAATATTGAGACAGATTAGCCATGTACTCTTCATATTACAAAAGACCTATCTCTCATGAGAACATCCAAAATATGGAGTTATTGCTGATCAGGATCACTGTGGATGGTGATGACTATTAGACTGCTGGTGACTTTGTATCAACAATAAAGTTGCTTATACAGTACTGCTAATATTGCTTAACATATTACTATTAATGACATGCTAGTTGAAACAGAGCATATATGCAGCATTCAAAAATATGTATTCTTTCTACAAGATACTGTGCATTTACAGCGAGTTGAATATAAAAACCTGTGCTTCTTCATGAGAGATGCCTCCAGAGATCTTTAGACAAACCCCTTTCTCCTTCAGCCACTATATCACAGGACACCAGATTCAGCAGGGTCCTTTAACTGGAGGAAGGCTAGGAATCCCTTCTTCTGCTGGCATTTGTCTAGATGCCACCCTCTGAAAATTATCTTAAGAACCAAAGGTGTCTTCTGATCTATTGTACTGTTTTTAAGTTACAGCTTCCAGTGTAACTTGGAACTTGTTAATGAAAATTTCAGAAGCAGTTGTTGAGATATACTGGATTTTAAAAAGAGGCTTTTGAATGTTTCTTATATCTGGCTAAGAAATGTTTTCAGTCATGGCCAAGGTACACAATGTCACCTGGTTAGTATGACAAGTTACCATGACCACAATACCATTATGCAGTTCTCATTTTAAAAAGATACTCCTTTAACAGAACTAGTTTCAATAGAACAGAAGTCTAGCTTATATACATCAATGGCTTTCTTACCAAGTTATGCAGGCATAATTTTTGAGCCAGACTGCCCAAAGTTAAGTTGCAGATGGTATCAGTTACATACTGAGTTGTATGTCTGTGGTGATTTCTTAACTCAGAGTGATTTGCATCCAAATGTTACACCATTTGCATAGCTACTCAAGAGGATTTGGGCCATTACATGTTTATTACTTTCAGAGAGAAGTATCTATCGTAAATAATACTGAATTGAACTACAACATTTTTTGAACAAAAAGAGTATAGGAAAGTACAAACTGGGATAGTTTTCTCTTTCATGAAATTCAATGCTGCAATTACAACACAAATAGCAAATGAAAAATCTCATGACAGAGCATGGAGAATAACATACACTGATTTTCTGTGACATAAAGATGAACTGCAATTGATATTTTCTTAAAGCTCCTTTGCTCACAGAAAGGAAATTATTCCAATATTTTCATCATGGTAAAAGGATGAAAAATGTATGGGGCATTCTTCCTTCTCCCATGCAAATTTTCTCTGCCCAAAACCTAATAGCATCAATGTTAGTCATGATTAACACCACATAAGGAAAGCCTCTCATCTGTTTTGTTTCCTTCTAGTCTACCAATGCTGAAACAAGTTAAACATTGATTTGTAGGATATGTATAGCCATCAAATGATCTCATATAGTTCTCCAGGTCAATGATCCCCAATCTTGGGTCCCCAGATATTCTTGGATTAAAACTCCCAGAAGCTGCTAGATGTGGTGGCCTGGAACTCTGAAAGTTGTAGTCTGAGAACATCTGGGGACCCAAGGTTGGGAATCACTGCTTTATGTGCTGATGCATCTATAGGGATCTATGATTACACAGCCATAATAGCCCAAAAGGATGGGCTGTATTACATTTTTTTGATGTGGTTTTCTTTCTTAATCTCATTGATACAGGTTTTGCCTAACTGCTGCAGTAACAGGTGCACTTTTAATTCCTAATTATATTTCTATTTAACTATGAACCAGATAGATGAACATTTATTTCAAAGGGTACATTTATGCATCTCATAAATGAACTCTAATTTAGTTAAACATTAAGCTGCTGAATTAAGACATAGCTTGATAACGCAGGCACTTCTCTAAACCTAAACTGTAAAAGGTGACTTTTTCACAACATATGTTTTACAAAAATAAAAAGGCACATGCCTGAAAAAAAATTCCACAGATTAAAGATGAAATCTATAGCATCAAATAACATCAATTGCAGCTGAGTTTATTTTTTGCCTGCACAGCCTTCCCTGGAAAAAGGCTTGCAGCAGAAAACAAACCCTTTTTTATGTACAGACCTTCATAAGGTTCTATCTCCTTGTCTCCATTGTCTAAGGAAAATAAAAATAAAACAGAAAAGGGAACTAAAGTATGGTGTTAAAAAAAAACCAGAACATTTATAAAAGGCAGAAATTATCTTTATTCTGAACAGGTGAAGAGAGAACCACACCACTGGACAATTAAATATAATTTTGCAAAAAAATCTGGGAACTTGCAATGTAAAAACTGGAAGCATATTTTACATTCTGGTGCAATAAATATGAAGTTGTATGTTTGTTTTTAAGCTTTAAATTCTAATTAAGTACCGTGTTTCCCTGAAAATAAGACAGGGTCTTATATTAATTTTTGCTCCAAAAACACATTAGGGCTTATTTTCAGGGGATGTTTTATTTTTTTCATGTACGACAATCTACGTTTATTCAAATACTGTACAGTCATGTCATCTTCTTCTGGTTGCTGCACAATGGTGGAGTGCAGGCTTTCACTTAACTAGGACTTATTTTTGGGGTAGGGCTTATATTACGAGCATCCTGAAAAATCATACTAGGGCTTATTTTCAGATTAGGTCTTATTTTCAGGGAAACACGGTAGTGGAAAGCATGATTCAATCAGATATAACTAAAGTTGATTTAGGACTAACAAATATCAAATAAATCCAAGGTTTGGTCAAGTGTTTAGGACACAATCTACACAAGTTTTTTACTAACTATGGCAGCAACCTTTATTCTCTTAGCTTGGATAAGCTCCAGTAAATGTAATGGAACTTACTCCAGAACAGACATGCACAGGATTGTGCTGTAAGGCCTCTCCATTGCCCTAGTCTCTCCTTTTGAATGGATGTCCCAATGTAGCTGAATGAATACAGTTTAGGTGGTATCAAGCCATTCACGGTAGCAGAAAGCTTAAAATGTGAGCGTTCTTCAATAAAGGAATAACACCCAGAGGCAAATGCAGCACAATCCATTTGCTTGGCATACTACCCAGAAATCATCTTTTTTCAACAACCACCAGTAATGACCTCCTCACAAACATCTACAAAGATGTGGGGGGAAGGGGAGAGAGAGAGAGAGAGAGAGAGAGAAGTGAAGCTTAAACCATATACCATATGCTACCTCTTATAATTAGATACACCTTACTTACATTCATTTAGGAACAATGTTATATAGGAGGCCCAAATTGTAATTATTTTATTTTATTATAACACTTTCATTATTCTTATTTAATATGAACAGTTGCACAGCTGTAGTGCCGTATGTCTGGTTCTGCATAAACCTAAATTCCTATGAACTAAATGAGATTGATAAGCTTTTGCAACCTTCTTGAGCAGAGCATTTTTGATATGTTTATTGTTGTAAGACATTACACCTAAAATTCCAACATAGATTTTGGGTGCAATGGAAACTGGGCAATTATGATTCACTTATTATTTTTATAATTATGATGACAATTATAGAAATTAATTCTAACTAGTAAAAGCTGCTGTAAAACCAATGGGCAATATGAACACACATCTCTTGCTGGAAATTAATTCAAAACCTTAAAAATTTGGCATTTTTATTCAATGTTGCAGTAAATATTGCTTTTCTCTTACACTTCAGTAAAAATATCTGAATTTCATAAAGCTTACTTACTTCTCTCCAGTGTCCCCTTGGGTGGGAGTTGTGGCAATTGTCTACCCCTGCGTCCTGCTACTGGAGTACCTGATGGGTTTGTTTGGACAGACCCCGTACGAGCATGTGACCTATGGGACACACCAAGAGAAACCATCAACTATAAAATATACTTTTTCTTAGATTCTGAAGAACAAATAAATAGTCAACAGGATAAAGCTTTGTGAAATTTGTGACAGATCATCCCTATACCTTTATACAGCAACCAATTGAACGGTTCATCAAGGGGAAAAAGGCAAAATTATGCAGGATGTGTTTGTGTAATTCCATCAATTATCTATGGAAATACAGTATATGTAAATATATATGCATGCAGATGTATTAACACACATAAAGACATATACAGAAATTATTGAAAGGATATGTTTTATATTTTCATGTTTTACAGAAGGGTATGTATGATTCCTGAATTCATCTAATATATTAATTCAATGTTTCTTTCAGCTATGAATTCAATGGCAAAAAGTAAAACAGAAATACATTTCAATGAATGAAATGGAGAATTGGTCTTAAGTATTACAAGTCACTTAAAAAAAACAAAGAAGCTAGAAAATAATTAGATTGGGAGAGGGAAAAGTTCCACACATTTCTTTGCCTTCTTCACTGCAGTTTTTGTAAAAAAAGAGTTTACTTATTTAAATATCATTTTCAAATGAATACAATATATAACTTTAACAGGAACAATGCAGAGCATGCATGCAACAAATCAGAAAAATACTGGTTAAAAACAGTGGTTAATACATAAAACTGGTACAATCAAATTTAAGAAACTGTTTTTTTTTCAAAAAAAAGTTTCATTTGATGTCATGATGATTATTCCATAACCGATGTCTGATGACCACACACAATTTCTCATTCTGTAAGAAAAATATATGGTAACCATGAGGTGCTTTAGTGTGAGAAATAACCCAGGATTCCTGAGAAATGAGAAATCACAAAACAATGTAATTAATTGTGACATTAATTATTGTTAGTAAACAAATTACAATGGGAGCTACACCATTATATCCCCAATGGAATATAAATAGTGTGTCAACATTGGCAGGGTTAGTATCTACACCTACTAGCAGTCAGCCAATGATGAAAGTCAATAGCATTGAGCCTCTGGGAAAATAAAAAAGTGATTTGGTGGGACGGGATTAGTCTGATTCAATTGTCTGTTTCACCTCGATAAGGCAGGTGAGGGAGGGGCAGATCTTCCAGTCATTAATGAAGGCATCGATCTCATGAGGTTTGAGTCAGGACGTTCAGTGGATCGGGAGCGGGGGCTGGGCCGCTCTAGCACAGGACGCTGTTCTGTTGATCTGGATCTTTGATATGGTAGTCTAGGTTCCCAATTCCTGTAATGTCAGTCAAAAAGCAGCTCAATTGACTTTTGTCTGTAGATATGGATTATGTTGCATCATACTGGGTTTAGAAATGACCAAAATTAAGAACATTTTAACAACTTTTTAAGGTTACTTGTGTGTGTTAAAGAAATGTGCTCCTTAGCCTTGACACAAAAATTTGATATATGAATAAAGACACTCTAAATGGCTTGATAATGAAATGAGCTAGTTTTTTCATTAATGTATTGTGTCTTAAAATGAGACAGTGGCTGTTTTCTGAAACTCCTGTGATTTTTTTTAAAAAAACAGAATTGACTGGAAATAACACGTTTAGTTGATGTAAAAACATATTTTGCATTCTCTGTTAGCAAAGCAGTCAGTAAGGACTGTATATATTGTCAGGATTAATGAATACAAATAAAAGCTTTCAAGTTCAAGCTATGATGAAATATTCATGAATAACGGTGTCCATCTGCAATATGCTGGTATCAGCAACCAGCCATTATCTTAGAAAGAAATAAAGAAGTTTAAAACAGACCAAAATAACCTGCCATTGAACCAAAGTTATAGTGTTTATGCAATAATAGTAGCTTCACTTATGATGGAAAGATTTAATCATATCAGGTGAAACATGCTCACATGACAGCATAAAAAGAAAGCACACAAGAAGCTAATAGAAGAAAATTTCTGAATAATTGTTCAAATAGCACAAAGTTTGCAAAACTTTTTATAAATACTGTATTAACAAGATTCATTTATTTTGATTTATAACTTAGTCTTTAGCTGAAGTTCAAGAAGTCACCAGGAAGAGCCACTTCTCTTTTCCATTTTGTTAAGAAACAATTCATTTAGGAAGTGACAGACCTATGGTATATATCACAGAAAACCTGATTCCAATTACTAATAGAAGAACATAGATAGTTATATTATGAAGCCTTTACTTGATTTACATCACATCAGACCTCATCTACACCAAGCTGTCCTGCAGAGTCCCACTTGATGCAAATAGAAACTGCCCAGGAATACTGCATGATTGCCATTCATTTCAACCAGGTTTCTCCTGGAGAAATTTGTGGTAGTTTGCTCATCTTCCTTGCTGATGAAATAAATGATTTCTTACATAAAATCCACTGAAATGTGCTTGCCTTCCATGTGAAAGTAAATGAGAGCCCCACAGACAGGTTCAGAATAATGCCAGCCACCAATAGCCTCAATTTAAAGCACCTAATAAGCAGGGGCGCACTGCACTGAGACACATGATCAGCAAAGGGTACTAAATATCAGGGAAGAAGCACAGCTAGCCTCAGATAAACCCACAAAAATTACCTCATGTTCTCTTCTGGATCTATATGTTCACTTTCTGAATAGGAAGCTTGATCTGTCAATACATCCATTGTTTCACTTCTTTAATGTCAAGAATAAACAAAAAGGTCACCTTAGCTTGCTATAGCTGTTGTTTTGTTGAGACAACATTTAAGGAAGGGTTCAGAGCTACATTTGAAATACATCTAAAAGAGAGGTATATATCCATGGTATGGAAGGAAATATGCTACCTTTGACGACAAATCTCTAACAAAAGACCACATGAAAATCATGAGTTTGATAGGTCTCCACTTCAAACTGCCTTCACAATATAGAAGCTGTTAGTGTGGCTCCTTATTGCACCAAGAAGGAGCCTATGTTATCAGAAACTGTGTGCCACAAGGAGAAACTATAGCTCTAACAGCTGGAAGACCATACAGAAGAAGCCCCTGTGCAGTCTCTTCTGCATAGTTTGGATGTTACAGCAGGAAGGGTAACCATGCTGCAGAACTAATACTACAAGGGCTCCAAGAGTCAAAGGCTTTCTTATTCCATCTGCACAACTATAAATGATGGAATAAGGAGATCACATGTTTATAAAGTGTTCTAGATACAAAAGAAATATGGGGACAGGGAGCTCAAATAAGAGAATCAAATAAGAATGTAGGACCTATAATTTCTGCTGAAACAGGCCTTGCCTTAATCATCTAAAATTGTGGGACTCTCACATTATACAGGAAAAACCTTTGCCTCCCATGTGCTGGTAAGGTTTTCTACTATAGATAAATGTACAGTGATGCCTCACAAGATGAATTTAATTCGTTCTGCGGTTAATGTTGTCTTGCAAAAAATTCATCTTGCGAAACACGTTTTCCCATAGGAATGCATTGAAATCTAATTAATGCATTCCTATGGGCAAAAAAGTCAGAACAAAGTCAAATTGGGTTTACAAAGGGTTTATTAAGTGCTCTTTAAAGCCATACATACTGTCCAGATGATTTCAAAAATTTCAATCAAAAAACTTTAACTTTTTAAACATCATAGAAAAACATTTAAAAATCAGCAAACATGAGGCAGGAACAAAAAACAGAAAACATTCATCTTGCGAAGCACAGCCATAGGAACATTTGTCTTGTGAGTCATCAACCCCATTGCCAAAACCATTTGTCTTGCTAGTTTTTTGTCCTGTGAGGCATTTGTCTTGCGAGGCACCACTGTATTTAAATCATTCCAATGATGCTCAATAAGAACATATTCTTTCTCTAATGACTTAAGGACAAAATAATATAAAACTGCTATCATATTGAAAAACAATGCCCCAAATGATTCTTAAAGCGTTCTGGAACCCTTTTTTCCTCCATTATAGAAAGCATCTTTGCTTTCCACTAATGCCTCTTAGTTCATCATCTTCATTTCACTTCAATGAAACCCACTTAGGTTTCTTTTTGATTTGCTGAAGATATAAGCATTATAGTTGCTATTTTTTCTAACAAGAAAAAAGGATTAGCACCTAATTCTCAACTGAGCATATAACTTCTGCGGAACTTCAGTGTGAGCATGAATAATGAATCTTTAACTAGTCCAAACATGTCAGACTTTAAATTATGTCAGCTAAAATGCAACTTGATAAGTAAAATGTCTTATGATATCAAGCAAGTTCTTTTTGTTACATGTTGTGCTATATTGCAATCATACTGTTAGTATACACAAATTATTTATGCACACCTAAGTTGAGCAAACTTATATGGCTTTTAAAAATCAGCAAGATGTAGATTGTGGGCAAAATACATATACTTAAGTCAATAAAGTTATTAAAGCATTAACTGCTGCAGCAAACAAATTAGGAACCATGAAAATGATGAAGACAGATAATTTATTGCTCCCCAGGACAGGTATTTCCTGCTTCCTCAAGCACAGCATATCCTTTGCTGTGTGTTATACCTCATAAATGAAAGCACAAAATAGGGTTGGAACAATAATGAAACCACCAGAATCAACAAATGTGTCTGTAACAAAGTGATAGAAACATGAAAATACAGAATTATGCTGCATTTTAATGACTATATGTAGTATCTTCTACTTCTACAGACACTGATCACACTGCAAGAGGAATACAAACAAATGAATGTCTAGGAGTCACAACTGTAAGTCTACATCAGTTACTTTTTACTAGGAATACCTGTCAGTATCTGTGGAAGGCTGTTGGATTTCAATCCTTGGACATACTATTCTTCTACTACCTATTGGCATTTTGCTGTTTGGTCATAGATACAAGATCCTTTGTTAGCACACCATCAATAATTAACCATGCCAGAAAACAGATTTTTATTTATTAGCCGTTAAACATGCAGTTTTATGCTCTAAACAGAACAGTATTTACTAAACAATAAAACAATGCATAAAGAAGACCTAATTTATTTTAAGAGAATGTAATCAATTATATGAAAATAATGCATATATGTAATAAAATCAACAAACCTATTTACATAGTGCATATGCTAGTGTTATAAAATTAATCTATGATAAATTAAATGGCAGCAAAATACAATAGTCTGATACGAAATAAAACACTAAACAGTATCTCTGTCATAAAACAATGTATATGTGAAATATACGAATATACGAAGAATACATGATGATACAACAAAACACAAAGACTTTCAGTGATGCTAAATCTGTCTGAAGACGATCTTATTTCTGCTCCTCATGCAGGTCACATATATTAAGAATATCAGGAACGTAAGTTACAGCAATTTATCTATTTGACAAAATAAATTTCCAAAGTATTTCTAAAACCTTTAAGATGCATTATCACACATTCCTTTCATATACACTTAAAAACTCAACAGTACTCTTTTAAAATGCAAGACACAAACTGCATAGAAGAAAGATACAATTACATTTTAGAAGTTTCTGAAAATTAAGGGGAATGTTTTATCAAGTTTTTTAACCTTACTTACAGCCAGATATTTCTAAAAAATCCGACCTGTTCCATCATCAAGAACTTCTTAAAAATTATGCTGTAAGAAAGATACATTTCCTGCCTAGATCCTAAATTTACGGCACACCACAAACATGGGACATTCTTTTTCCTCTATCATAAGGCAGAATATCTGATCTCTGCAATATATTTTAACTTTTACATGTTATATAGTACACATGTCCATGTTTTATGTCACCTGTTACAGAGGACATTTAGGATGCCTCTCATCTACCACATAAGCACTTCCAGGTAAGGAGTGAAGACAGTCTTATCTGTTATATATAAGCCACATGGATCGGTAGCTGTAAAAATTCTATAGCAAAATGACTTCTTCCCACAACTCTGCCCTTCACAGTTTAAATCACTTGCACAAACTGTTGTTGTGGGTTTTTCGGGCTTCTTGGCTGTGTTCTGAAAGTGGTTTGGAGGAGGTAGCCATGTTAATTTGTGCGAGCATATCAGGCAAAATCCAAACAAACAAACAAACAAAATGACAAAAACATATACCCCTTAAAGACTATTAAGGTGCTGAGAAAACTCCACAGTCAGGGGATAAGAAGGCAGGTCCTCTTATGGACTGAGCAGAAGGAAAAAGGGAGTAGGTATCAATGGGCAATTTTCACAATGGAGAGAGGTGAAAAGAGGTGTGCCCCAGGGATCTGTTCTGGGACTGGTGCTTTTCAACCTGTTCATCAATGACCTGGATACAGGGATAAAAAGTGAGGTG